AGCAGCAGCAGCAGCAGCAGCAGCAAAAGCAGCAGAAGCAGCAGAAGCAGCAGTAGCAGCAGCAGCAGCAGCAGCAGCAGCACACCAGCTGTGGGTGGCGTGGCAGCTTGGCTGAAGCAGCACAGTGATGTGGCCTGGCACCAATGCGGATCCCCCTTTGCCCACCTCTACTCACTCTGTGGCCTGGCTTGCCTCGTCCATGATGACCAGAGCAAAGCGTTGTCCTTGTAGCTCAGACCCGCCCGACCCCACGCACGTCGCGCCGACGACGTCAGCCGCAGCAAGCAGCCCGCGGCGAACCTTGTGCCAGCGTATGCGCTCGGCCCACGCGGTGTTGTCCAGGTCGGTGCACACCTTGTCAAAAGCTCTGCCAGTGTGGTGAATGTGTGGTGATGAGTCGAAACTCAATAAGGTAGATCAAGCATGGCAAGCAGGCAGGCAGGCACGCAAGCATAAAGGCGATTCAGACGCACTTGTATGCAGCTGTGTGCGCCTGTGAACACTGGCCCTGAAATCTTGCCGGCCACCCACCCGCTGCGCACCGACCTGCCCCTCCTTTTGTGCTGGTTCATTTCTTGCAGCTCCTTCATGAGCCGCTGCATGCGTGCCCTGAGCTCGCACAGTTTGTCATCCTGCTCAACCAGGCACCGCAGCGTGTGTTTGACCAGGGCACCACGCACCCGCGCCGGCTCCCCGATTCGCACGACATTCAGGCCGTCTGTTGGCAAGCCGTCGACGCCGCAGCCCCGAGGGGAGAGTGGCAGGCAAATTGGTCAGCTTTTAGCAATGTGGTTGGCGTTGTGTCACCCTCCTCCATTTACTATTCATCTCCAAGAGCCTGGGTGGCTTCGGAAGTGGGCGCGTGCGGGGCGTGTAACAAACCTATTATATTATATTACTGGCCACGCTACCGTAAAGCAGGAGGTGCGAAGAGCGAGAGTGGGCGGCTGGTTTGTCAAAGAATTTGCTTGACGTGGAGCATGGCACACAAAAAAGGTGAAACCCTGCTTGACATTTCTGATTGCAGCCACAGTGTGGTTTTGCCCATGATAGGCTCAGCAGCTCAGGCAGATGGCCATACATGTATCATTGCAGGCAGGCAAGAGCTGCCCAATGGATAGCGCATCAGCTCGCCTGATAGCAAGTGCTCCAGCACGTTGTCAACCGCAATGTTTGACTGCGCGGTCACCAGGATCCTCCCTCGGTGCCCCCACTGGCGGCGGAGGAAGTAGATGAGCCCGCAGATGGTGGTGGTCTTGCCCGTGCCGGGCGGGCCATGCAGCAGGGTCAAGGGGTTGAGCAGCGCTGTTGCCATGGCGACAATCTGCGAGGCGTCGAGCCTCTGGACGCGGCTGCTGCCGCCCACCATGCCGTCACGCTCCATCCTTGTTATTAACTGTCGAGCGAGGATTGCGTGGGAGGGGTGGGGCAAGTGTGTGAGTGTGTGGGCCTCGCACCGTTTTATCCTACAGCAGTTTGTTCATGCAAACATGGGGTGAGAGAGTGGGCATAGGGTAGGTGCAAGACCACTCTGGCCTTCTAGCAAGCCAGAGGGTGCAATATATGCAGCCAGCTAAGCCTGCCGGCCCCCCCAAAAACATCGAGAGATTTTGCACTTCAGGATAAGCAACAGCAGGATCAGCCGCAGCTTTGCGCACACCCACGCACTGTTGCGGTGCGCGTTGCGTCTGGCTTGCCGCCGGGCAGGACCTGGCGCGCCCATCGCCTCGCCGCTTCAGGCACCAGCCCCGCTGTGCTCAATCCGCCCGCCAGCGCGGCGAGCTCGCCGCGAGCAGGCGCTTTACGTTTCGCTGAAAGGCGCCCACCAGCCACTTTGCTAGCCCGCTGCCGCTTCTGTCGCCGTCGTAATTGCTGTCATCGTCACGGTCATTGTCGCTGTCGCTGTCGCTGTTGCTGTCGCTGTTGCTGTTGTTGTCGTCCTTCTCAGGCAGCGACTGTGCGCCGCGCATGTCAAGGATCAGCGACCGCAGGGCAGAGCCCTTTGATGTGCCGCCATGAAGCTGCCGTCGGCCGAAGCCGACCTTGTTCAAGACCTTGTTGGTGACTGCCGCCAGTTTAGAGGTATTCTGTGTGCCGTGCCACATCCCAAGTAGGGCCAGGAGGGCTCGTTCGTAAGTGAGGGTGCTGACTGTCGCATCCAACCTGTGGCATATGGTGCGCAAGGGGGCAGCGCAGCACGTCCGGACTGCGGATATGCAAGAACTGCCCACGGGCTTACGTACGTGGCCGAAGTTTCTAAGCAGCGCTTTTGTTTGTTCAAGCAAGCGAGAGCTGCCGCAGCAGCAGCAATCCAGGCCAGCAGTAGAACAGCTATTACTGCAATCACAAAAACGGCTCTGTAGACACAGCACACAGTGTCCCAAGCTGTCGTGCGCTCTGGGCGCAGGTGTGCAGCGGGCGCCAGGCGCAGGCTGTGGTCGGGCAGCCCAATGCAGTACAGCCATGGCTGATTACGTATGCCATCAAAGCACAAACAGCGACACGTATGTGGTGCCTCGCCATCTTACCTCCAGAGCTTCCGCCGGTTTCGGCAAATTTCATCTTCATTTATAAAGCTGACAGCCACCTTGATCCAGTTGCGGCTCTTTTCGGTTACGACCCCCCTTATGACGTCATCGCCAGCATTCAGGGGGTTCACCTCAGTTGGGCAGACGGTGAGAGTGTCGCCGACCCTGTTGCTCAATGTGCGATTTGCGTTGGGAAGACATTAATGAATTGGGCTCTGCGCTTGTGCACTCCAGCTGCGCTGTGGCCGACCTTTGTGGGTAAAAGCCCAGAAAGCGTTGTGTGCAGTGCCGTGGTTTGTCCCAGCAGTGCCGCCACTTTGAATGTTTGCCGTGCCTGAACACCGAGGTGGCGATAACAAAAGCACAGCAAAGCCTGGGTTACAGGCGTGCCACGGGCAAGCGCAAATGCTCGAGTGCTCAAGTGAGCTTACCCAAACGCCGTCCTGGGCAGCTCCTCCCCATCTTTGATGCTGAATTTGACCTGCAATGGTATGCAACGGACAACAGCACAGATGCTTGGCTTGGCCCCTTGATGGATGCAAAGTAGATCAATAACATCCAGCATCTACATACCCTCCAACTCATACAGCAACCCCCCAAGCCCGCCCAGCAACGGGCACCAAAACACAATTGCCAGTGACACAGCAAGTGAACGTGCCTGTGCACGCACGGACAGGGGCCGTACGTAATATGCTGCCATAGTGCCGTGTTGCGGCGCCCGGCACGCATGCTTGCAAGCAGATGCGATTCGACAGCGTTTGGCGGGCAGCGCACGTGCCCGCAAGCACGGCAAATGCACTGCAGTGCCAGACAAACCTGCCCGCCTGAATATAATCGCGCCATCTCACCCACCTGCCGCATGTCATGATACTTGCCGGCCCTGCTGGCCTCCATATCCAGCAGCACCCAGCCCTCTGCACTGAGCAGCTCCAGGGGCCAGTCCTTGAGCGCCTGCACATGCTGCAGGACGCCTTCATCCGCCTCCAGTAGCAGGAGCTTGGCCCACCTGCGCCCCAGGGAACGCAGGCAGCAGGCGGGGCAGCGGCACATCTTGGTAGCTGATGGCAGGGGACACGACACCAGCCAGAACAACTGCACGGTGCCTTAGATACAGAACAAATGGCTGCTTGCTGTCAGTTCCAAAGTCCGTTCCTCCAGCCGCCCTACCTGTGTATGTAGGTCTTGATGGCCATGGCATCGACCTCTTCCTCATCCAGGTCCTTGTCAGCCTTGGCTGGCCGGTATCCCTTCACCAGTGACACCGTTTTGTGTACCTCGTTGTGTTGACGTCAATTTCAAAAATAAACGCAAGAGAGGCGGGGGCAGTCCCATCTTCAGCGTATTCCATGCTGTCCAGCTCGCGGCTTCCTGGCAGGGTGTTGCATTTACACATGCACAGCCGCCAAGGTGCAATGACCAGGGGGCGCACCAGGTTACTCAGGTCAGCTGGCCTAGCAATGGCCCTTGCGAGGTGATCCGTGCTGTCAGTGCCTGAAAGCTGATATCGGTGACGCCAGTAAACACCTGTTCCATCATGCCCTCGCAGTACTTGCCAATGTCGCCCGCCGCCCGCATGACGGTCGGCTTGCGTGCCCAGCGGGCCACCCTGCCGCAGCACGCGATGTGCCCTGGGCGACAAGCAAGGGCACGGGTGCACGTAAGCCAGCCAGCCATTACTAGGAGAAGAAGCTTTTGATCACATTCACCTGCGGCCGGTGATGTGCAGAAGGCGAGTACGGGCCTCGCGCGAACAGCAGCATGGTGACGGTGCTGCGGAGGGCACACAAGGGTGCGGGGGGCACTGAGCAGCATCGGACGCGGTCTATGCATATCTTCGCGATCAGTTGTGACATCAAGCACAATCTGTCGCTGATATGGTGCTCGCGGCTAATGATTTTTATCACGGTACCCGTGGCAAGCACGGGTGTCCGGGTGACGCACTTCATCCCTCGTGCGTCCGGTAGTATGATGTGTTCAGATTATGATACTATTTGATATGCTCCTGAACGTAGGTGCTTGGCTGGCAAGACAGGGTGGCTCATCCCACTGTATGCGTACGCGCACGTGGGGCAGGTCCGGTACTCAGGCAATTGAGCAATCCGGCTGCGGCTGGGCTCCTCGCATGTGAAGATTTGCACAAACCAGAGGAAACATGTGTGCAGTGCCCCCCTCTGTGTCTTTGACACAATTCAATGAGTTGTGCGCACGGACGCTTGGCCAGGCTGCCGCAGCGGCCCGGCTCAGCAGGCCGAGAGCCAGCGTAGCTGGGGCGCCCCCCTCACAGGGGAGCCCGGCCGGCTCTGACGCTGCGCGGCCCCGCAGAGCTCAGCCGCATGAGGCGGTTGGGCAGCCTGTGAGGAGGATTCTTTAAAGCCCCGTAGTCCCAAGCTCAAGCTTACAGCTGGGACGCCTTGGCCACGCAGCCATTGGCCTCCGCCCACTCCACGAATGCCCCCCAGTTCTCGTCGCCGCGCAGCGTGCGGCAGCTGCCCACCACCACCAGCGCGCGCCGCGCGCGCGTCAGGGCCACGTTCAGGCGCCGCCAGTCCTTCAGGAACCCGATCTGCAGAGGTGGCAAAACAGTATGGGCGTTGAAGATCGAACACCTCAGAGAGGCGCCCGCCTGGCGAACCACACAACAACCTCCAACAACCTGGTGCAAGACGCAGGCCGTTGACGGGCCCTACTTGCCCGCGCGTTGCGATAAAGCTTGGACTCTTGATCCGCTGGCCCCGTGACTGCAGCCTCACCTCGCGCCGCGAGTTGCAGCGCACAGCAGAGAACACGATGACCTCCTTCTCTCGCCCCTGGTAGCCGTCCACCGACTTGCACTCCAGCAGGTTCAGCCGCGCCGCCTCGTCTGCGGTGCGGGTGCAGGCGGGTGTCGTGTGTCAATGTGGGAGCGCAGGGTGGGAAAACAAGAACAAAAACTGCTAAGAATCTGATGTATTGCAATGCTTTTGATGCTGCGCACGCCGACCCCGGGAGACGTATGGCAATCATGTTCGAAGGGCCTGGGGTACTTGCAGGGTGGGGGTAGTTGCAGGCCTACAAACCTAGGTGCAGGGCGCACCAATGCGTTGCGGGCTCAAGCCCTGACACGCAACAACAGCTTGTCGGCTTCCCATCTCACCGTCGTCGTCGCCCCCGCCGCCGACCTTCGTGGTGGTCTCAAACGGCAGCTTCCGCGCCAGCAGCTGCACCTGGGCCTTGTAAGGCGAGATGATGCCGATCTGGCCCGTGCGCAGGCCGCACCGCTCCACCAGCCTCGTCACCAGCCGTACCACCACCTCGGCTTCCTAGGGGCGTAATTGATTACGAGGCAAGCAGCCGGCAGTCCAAGGTTGTGATTCGTGGGTTGCAAACGCACAAAAGCGGCTGCTGTGCGGCGCCTCTCGCCACGAGCACCCGCACAGAAGCGCATTTAATCACTACCACTACTGTTGGCCCAGCTAGTAGGGCAGGGTGCGTCGACGTGCGTCCGGCAGGTAGCTTCCTGCAGGCCGCACCTTCTCGTTGCTGTGGCTGCCGCGCTGGCTGGTCTGCTCCTCGCCGTCCACATCCACCAGCACCACGTTGTGGCTGGCCGATGGGAATGCAAAGCCTTGGGGCCGTGTGCGGTCGGCGGCCCTCACGCCGTCGACCAGCAGGCCGTCGTAGAACTGTTGAAGTGAGCGGCAGGGCGCGCATGCACATGTTATGCATGGACCAAGTTGAGTGCACAGACGGAGGGGGAGTGCATTGCAGCAAGGCATTACGCAAAATCAAAGCGTGACAATGGGGTTGCAGACCACTTAAATTGCATTCTTTGGCTGATGGGTAAGCAATGACTAGTTGCGGTCGGCAACACTTCAGATATTGCGGGGCTGCCCCCGGGAGCATCTGGAATGGTGGCCAAGCGCACCTGTGCATTTGGGAAGGCTGAAAGTGACGGGTGCATGCGGTACTGCACCTGTGGATTGAAAGGTAGAGATCCATGCAGAACTCACGCGGTGTGTATGCATGCTGCCATGTTGGGGCAAGCTCCTTTCATGAAAATTGCAGGCAGACGGGTCAAGCCTCCTCTGGCACACTTCCATGTGCACCGGGTTCATCCCGCGCTGAATTGTGCTGATCGGAAATCTGAGCGACCCCGACGCATGTGGCGCACCACCAGCCTACCTGCAGCAGGGCGCTGGGAGCCCCTGCGTCCATCAAGCGCTCAAACAGGCTCTTGCCCAGCCCGCCTTCCTTGGCAGCCTGGCTCTGCACCACGGGTGGCAGCTGCTTGTGGTCTCCCACCAGCACCAGGTGCCTGCTGCCCTTCATGATGGGGATCAGCGCCTCGGGCCTGCGCAGCGCATACGGAGGCAGGTCTCACGGCTCCCAGTTTGAGCTTGAAGTAATCATCATGGGAAGCCTGCGGCTGCTGCAGTGGTGCGCTGCAACAAATGCCACGCTGACAAAGCCGCAGCAGCAGGCGCAGACTGCAGGGGCAGCGGTGACGGGCCCGCAAGCAAGCAGCAGCAGCAGCATCAACAGCAACAGCAACAGCAGCGGCAACAGCAACAGCAACAGCAACAGCAACAGCAACAGCAACAGCAACAGCAACAGCAACAGCAACAGCAACAGCAACAGCAACAGCAACAGCAACAGCAACAGCAACAGCAGCAGCAGCAGCGCAGCAGCTGCAAAAGGCGTCAGTAGCAGTTGGCACTCATGGCATGGGGAAGCATGTGATTGTGGCCTAGCTCCGATCAACAACCTTTGCCTGGTCTCACTCACTCCGCGGCCTGGCTTGCCTCATCCATGATGACCAGGTCAAAGCTTCGTCCGCTGAGCTCCGGCCCGCCCGCTCCCACGCACGTCACGCCCACAATGTCAGCTGCAGCAAGCAGCTCGCAGCGGACCATGTCCCTGCGCCGGCGCTCGCCGTGCCGGGCTTCGTTGAGCTGACTCCGTACCTCCCAAAAATCGCACCTGGTACAGTGTGTGGTGATGGGTAACTTGAAGCAACCAGGCAGGCGGAGGGCGGTGCAGGCAGGCAGGCAGGCAGGCAGGCAGGCAGGCAGGCAGGCAGGCAGGCAGGCAGGCAGGCAGGCAGGCAGGCAGG